CCTCGGGCTTCCTGGAATCAGCCGTTGGTCAGTTTCAGCAGCGGCTGAATTGGGGACGCCAGTTCCGACTTACGTACAAATTCAACTTAAGAACAAACCTACAGTCCCTATCTTGTACGTAACCTGGGGACTGCGTGTAGTATAAGATGATTTCACACACACACACACACACACACACACACACACGAAATAAAGTTTTTCCTGCAGGATGACAGAGTGATGTAATCACATCACTCTGCATCCTGCTGCCCCACCTCCTCCTTCCTCCCTGCTGCTAACCCATCAGGGATCTGCAACCTTTGGCTCCTGAGCATCAGCAGCACTGAAGGTAAACTGCTGCTGCTGCGCTTATGGGGGGGAGGAGGAAAATTGTGGGGCTGCAGTGGGTAGATGAGTGGAGAGGTCTGCTGTGGGGGTTCCAGACTGGGGGACAGCCCAGCTCCTGATCCAGGGCTGGCTGTACCTCCAGAAGCCACCACGTGGTGGGCAGCTGTTGGAGTTTTACTTTGCACTGCTCCAGTGGCATGGGGGGAGGGCCGCCAGAACTGGGGGACACCCTCCTCCCCACTGTGCGTCTCTTCCTTCCCTCCCTCCCCCCCAAGATGCCATAGCACCTCACTTTAAAACTCCAGCAGTCAGAGTTTTAAATTGCAGTCCTCCAGCCTGGGCCTCACCCCTTCCTTCCCAGCAGCTGGCATGTGGGAGAGTGTAGGGCCCTGGGTGAGCATGAAGCCCGGAGAGGGATCTGGGTCCTTCTCCCCCTCCCTCCCAGGAGACAGGGGTGAGAGCTCTGGGCGAATGCACTGGGCAGGAGATTGTGAGTCTTGGTGAGGCTGGGGAGAGGGCGTGGAGGTACAGCTGGGGCTGAAGTGGTACAGAAGGGAGGTTGTGAGACCTCCTCCCACTTGCGGGAGGGCGGAGGGCTGGAGCCGTTTGGTCTCCCCCTCACAGGAAGGGACCTGTGAGCCACTCAGTCTTCACCCACTGCCCTGGATGCTGGGAGGGAGGGGGACCAGGGCCCAGGCCCTTCCCCAAGCCACACACTCTCCTTCCCCGCCCTACCCCCAGTGTTGGTAGGGAGGGAGCAAGGGTAGGGCGGTAAGTAACATAGACGGACCGCAGGGAGGTCAGGACAGTGGCTCTCCCCCATGCGGCTCCTTTTTCCACCTCAGCAGGCTGCAGTGCCCTGGAGTGTCACATGCACACGACATCACCTGTGCCTTACTGCACCCCATGCGGGGCAGGTAGACACTCCTGGGGTTAGAGCTGGGCCTGGCATGCACTTCAGCTGGGGGGGGGGGGAGTGGTTAGGGTTGGCGAGGAAGAGAGTAGGGGCCTGGTCTGGCGGTGGGGGGAGGCTGATGGGACCTTGGTTTGCAGCGGGGGGAGGAGGGAGAATGGGACCTGGGCTGGCATGCCGGGGAGAGGAGTGAGGGAGAAGGGGGCTGGGCTGTTGGATCAGAATATGGATGTTGCCAGACCAGAGTCCGGTGGAGAGCTGGTGACTGGGAGCCCTGCAAGCCAGCAAGGCAGTGGGCTGTTGACAATGATGCTGCCTGGCATGTGGCAGTTATGCCAGCCAGTAGAGCTGGCAGAGTAGTGGGGACAGGGCTGAGGCAGCCAGTTTCAGGGGGCCAGAAATGACTTCCCCGTTCCGACAGAATCTCTCATCTGGGACTGTTGATGTCCTAAGGGTGCCAGACCAGGATGGTCCAACTTGTATTTACCAGTACCAGAAAATAGTCTGTCTATAGTGTTTAGGTTTTTAATACTTCCGAGTCCTGTAGTACATAGTAAAAGTAAAAAATTATTTAACTAAAATACCATACCATAGTGTACCACATGCAGATACAAATTAGGCTCGACCCATGTTAGAATTTTTTTCCTCCCAGAAGACAGGTACTTAATTTTCATGTGTAGTAAAGTCAGTGTAATTACTCAACCTAAAATCCCCAAGGGCAATATTGTGTATTGCATTGAGTATAGAACGACATTAACTGTCTCAAAGACAAGGTATGTTTCCCCAGATTTATACAGCATCAGTTAACCGTTGCTGAGACTTGACTTTTTTTGGTTGTTTGCAAAAACATTTCTTTAGGACTCTGCTGCTATATCTGACAGCATATGGACATGGATAAATGAATGTACCAGACATGTATAGTAGAAAGACCTTTGATTCCTAGATTATAATACTAGTATATTTACCTTGAACTGTGTTGTCTTTGATAGCTAAAGTTGTCAGCGAAGAAGCAGATAATGACCAGGACGATCCTCAGGTTGTCAGAATTTCTGATGCAGAAACAGATGCAGACACTGGCACAGCTGAAAAAGAGAATGAAGAATCCTTGAGTGTGTCTGAACAGACAGAAGAACAGACTGTATTGGAGGCAGGGGCAACCAAAAAGAAGAGGAAAAAGGAAATAAAAAGGAGCAGCCTCCGAACAGACAATGCCCAAACTCAAGTGCAGTGTGCATTCATGAAAAGGGGAGAAACCCAGCAAGAAAAGTAAGATTAAAATGCTCAATCCTAGTCCTTCTTTTGCTGTTGGCATTGTTACAGTTTGTTGTGCTTTAGCTACCTCACCAAATTATAAATCTTAAATTTTAGCCTATGAAAGTACCTGCTGTGTTTTCTTTGGACCTTTTGTATGCTATAAAAATTATAACATACAGGTACTGTTTGGTTTGGAGAAGATAGGACTTGTTATCGTTCAACTTGGGTCTAATAATTACTCTCCTTTTAATTTACCTGTACCCTCTTTACCCTCGTGCCCCTCGTTGCCCTTTCTCAGAAGAATACACAGGTTTGCAGTGTGCTCTGTAGATCAACAAATTATTGGGAAAGAAATGAGTTTGAGTTGAGGGTCTCTCTCAAAAAATGTCTGGCAGCCAGTCCTCTTCTGTTTATAAAAACAACAAACACACACAACACAACAACAGGAGTGCAATTAGCTTCAGTACCTTGGTTGATATCAAGGCCATTTAGTGCATGTGGGGAGAATTGATCTCTTCAGTACCCAGGACGCCAAACCATATAAGGTTTTTAAGTGAAAACTGGTTGAATGATGTCTGGAAACAAATTGGATATTTCATTGCAGACCTTGGAGCACAGACATAGTTTATCAAGTACCTCCAAGTAAGAGGACTGCCACTTTCTGGACTACATGATGTTTCAGGGTGGCTTTTTGCTATAACTCATGATAGACCATTACAGCAATCCAATCTATTATGGAATATTTTTTGGTTAAACAACTGTGGTCTCACAGGTGAGATCACAGCCGGGTTAATATATAGTATAGATCATATCTGCAAATTCACAAGCCTTTTGATGAAAATTTTATGGCATGTTTCCTTTTAAAGGGCACTATTGCGTAGTTTTGGCCACAAATCTACATTTTCTTTAAACACATCTCCCAACACCCACCATTAAAATTTAACATCTGGAAAAATATTTTAATTTAAAAAAACCCTTCGTTTTTGTTGAGATGTAGTAATTTTCCTCAGAAGTATTTGTAACTTTGCAGCATTGTTCTATGAAAAAGTGGATGGTGAAACTGCCTGGAACCTCCAAGTTGAATGGAGAGCAGACCAGTAAATGAAGTAACCTAGATTTTTAAACCTCTTTGAATGTTGATTAATGTAGATACAGAAAAGGTTTGAAATCTTAACGTGAATTCCTGTTCAGTTTTCTATAAATTATAATGTCTATAATTCCACAAGCCTACAATTTGTAGTGGCTTTTGGTTGCGTCATTTTCAGTAATACTAACTGACAGTTGACATCTGTTCTGTGACATAACCATGATTTTAAAAACAAAATCTCCAAGTGCAATTTTTCTTTTCTTTTGTAGAGTCCAACTTTTACTCCACTTGGAAGAAAGTGGTGATCTTTTTCCTGACAATAGCAACAAATCTTAATTAAGCCCAAAGAGTCACACTTCAGCTACTATGCTCATAAGCCCAAACATTCAATAGTGAAGAATTTTTTTTGGTTGCCTTTATTTTTGAGATGCTCATTTGGAAACACTGTAAATGCCTTTTTTTTTTTCTTCTGAAATTCAGGTCCTTCTCGGGTGTTTCAGTTTGGTCCCCAAAGTAACGTCCATTGAAACCCTATTTTTTTGTTAAGCTTTGAATTTCTCCTGTGACTGTTTAGGAATCTGTACCTAACATTGCCAGGCATTTTCAGGAAATGCATATTAAATACCTAACAATTTGTTAACAGAAAAAAATGAGGTGTCTGGTACAAACAGTGATAATCATACTGAATGTGGGAAGGATCTGGATGTTCTTAATGAAGAAAATATGGATGAGATTCCTGTCCTAGTAGAGCCAGAATCAAATTCCTGTTTACATCTGAATGATAAAACTGAAGAAAGTGATCTCAATTCCAGGTAACTTTTTTGCAAACTATGACTCAAACACAGCAAGAAATGGCTTGATTTTTAAAATTAGTTTAGTTTTGTTTTTTCATTCTTACCATCATATTCATTGGTGAAAAGAAGGGCAAAGTCTTTGGTTTCAAGGTATTGTCAAGCTTTGCCTCAAGAGTGGTTGACTGATATAATTTAGTTTTATACCAGCAACATGTTCTGTTCTTTGAAATCCCTCCCTTTAATATAAATGAATGCTAAAACTCCATGTAGTAATTCTTATAATCCAAACTTTCTCTCTTATATGTGAGATGAATATAAAGACCATTGACTTACTCCAAATGTTGCCCTAACATTTTAAGGAAAATGTGGTGATATGAGTAACAATATTGGTAGCCTTTGGCTTGTGAAAGGGGGGCGTTCTGTAAATATTTTACCATAAAATTTATCTTCTGTAACACTTGCAGGAAAACAGCATTATACTTAGTTTCATACTGAGCTAACACTTAACCAGGTTTTCTGACAAAATGCAATTGTTTTTGGTCATGAAATTCTAGACGTTTTTTTCAGTACATGGCACTTAGTGTCATTAATTTCCATCTTTACTAAGAGGATTTTCTTATCACCATTATACAGTGGTATACAAGTATTCATTGAGCTCATGTAAATTATGAGAGTGCTGGAAGAACTATAAACATTTTAATACAGGTTGAACCTGTGTAATTCGGACTTCCCTGCGTTTAACAATTCCCCCGCCCTCCCAGAGCTTCTGGAGCATCACAAATAGCTGATTTGTGGTGTTCAAGTTCAGGGAGGAAGGGGAAGGAATGGGGATGGGGGGCGATCACAGGAAATGGCTCTGGGATGTGGTGGTGCTTCCCCTCCCCTTCTCCTTCCCTCCCCCCCCCAACTTCTTCTGCATTTTAAATTTCAAAGCTACGGGGTATTTGGTCCCAGACCCAGCACGAGCTGGGACTGAGCTGGGCTTTCTGCCTGCCCGGCTCTTACTACATTTTAAATGCAGAACTGCAGTGGGGTTTGGTCCGCACCCAGTATGATCTGGGACTGAACTGAGCCATCAACTAGTGGATGTAGTTGATAGAATTTTTATCAAGTATTCAATTAGTTAGATACCCGCCTGTTAACATCCTTAGGATGGGGTTTGGCCCCTGGTTACAGGGCTCCACAGCTGTCCCGCTCAATCAGTGCTGACCCCTGTGCTGCTACTGGAGAAACTCAGCTGTCAGAATTAGAGGAGTCAGCATTGATCTCCCTATGTCGGGCAAATTCCTTGGCTTGGGGCTGGTCAGGTGTTGGACCAGGAAGGTTCAACCTGTAATATTCTTTGCATTGAAGTAAGTACAGCTTCATTGTATTAGATTTCCTACATAAAATGAGAGTTCCTGCGGCCAATTCGGGATATTCAAAAGCTTTTTTGCTTTTAAAATCATTCTTCATCTGCATTGCTTAAAAGGCATTTTATTAAGATAAACCAAAGCTTTTTGAGAGCTTCTGTATTGGTTGTGAGAGCTGTTATTCAGACTAAGGGCATGAAGTTGGAAGTCATAAAATTTGGCAGGTTCACTAGAACGCTTACAATGTCTTCAGATTGTCCATTTGGGCAAATGAACAGTAGAGCAATTTGATCCTGTAACCCTGATTCATTTGTGTGTGAAAAAGTACCGATGATACATTTTCTCTCAATTCCTTATTTTCAGATTTCAGGATATTAGTGTTGAATTAATAGAAACAGATTCATCTGAAGCAGAAGCCTCAAATATCCTCTCTGGGTCACAGGATTGGCAGCCTTCAAAATCTCAAGCTTCAGGTACAAGAAATAAAAAAGGAAATTGTAAAGAAACCAGTGAAGCAAAGGTATCTTATGTTTTTTATGGATTTTTTTTTAATCTCCAATAAATTACTACTAGTAACATTCACATAAAATAAAGATTTCTTTGAAAAATATCTCATAACCTACTCATATACAGCTCAGCACACAAAGCCTGGAAATATCTCCAGAAGTTAAATAAGTTGACAGTGTGATAAATTACTTATATTGGTTTTCATTTACTAGGCTAAACTGATTAAGGAATATAATAATTTGATTGGGTTTATTTTGTAGTACAAAAATTAAAGGTGCTGTTTAAACTCTTCATTAGTTTTCCAAAACAAAGACTATGATGGAGAAAGAGAAAAGGCCACTAGTGAAAGACACTGAATTTTATTGTTTTGGAGCCCAGTGTTGCAGGAGCTGGGTACTATGTGCTTATTAGCATAACTAGATATGAAGGTTTCTTTTACTTTTTTTAATCTTTCTAAGACAAAGTGTATAGCTTTCTGGCTGAAGCATGAGATGGGTTTAGGAGATCCCTGCCATGTTCTTCCTATACCACTTTGGGCAAGTTGCCTAAACTTTTGACCCTCAATTTCACCATGACTGTGTCTAGACTGTATCCCTTTTCCGTAAAAGGGATGCAAATTAGACACATCGCAATTGCAGATGAAGCAGGGATTTAAATCCCCCCGCTTCATTTGCATAAACATGGCTGCCGCTTTTTTCCTGCTCGGAGCTTTTCCCAGAAAAAAACGCCAGTCTAGACGCGGATCTTTCAGAAAATAAAGCCTTTTCCGAAAGATCCCTTATTCCTCTTAAAATAAGGAATAAGGGATCTTTCGGAAAAGGCTTTATTTTCCGAAAGATCCCCGTCTAGACTGGCGCTTTTTCCGGGCAAAGCTCCGAGCCGGAAAAAAGCGGCAGCCATGTTTATGCAAATGAAGCGGGGGGGGGGGGATTTAAATCCCTGCTTCATTTGCAATTGCGATGTGTCTAATTTGCATCCCTTTTACAGAAAAGGGATGCAGTCTAGATACAGCCCATTAGTTTATATTTAAAATATAAGCAAAGTTCTCCATTTTTACTGAATTCCTTAAGTGGGAAGTGTTATAAAAACACAACACGCAGCTGCCTCAGAAGAATTAGAGCAGGGGTAGGGAACCTTTTTTGGGTTGGAGGCCACTGACCCACAGAAAAGTCAGTCATGGGCCACACACAAGTGAGAAGCAAAGGGGGGAAAAAAAATCCCAACAAAAACCTTGCAGATGTGGCCCCTGACTAAGAAGGAGAAAGTCACTGCCCACGTTTCCTTGCGCACCAGCGTAGGGGGCCCTAGTAGATTTTGTGTGCCCCAGCCTCATGGTGGGGCAGCAGGGGATGGGAGTGCCAGTGTGGGCTCCCCAATGCTGAGGGGGCCCTGAGCCTCAGGGTCTGTATCCAGGCAAGCCAGAGGCTGCATCCGACCCCAAGGTTCCTCACCCTTGAATTAGAGGAAAGAATAGCCTGGACCCTTGTAATGTATCTCAGTACCGCCTACAAACAAGAACTAAGTACAGTAAACTTCTGATAATCCGGCACCTTTAGGACCCAGTGGGTGCCGGATTATCAGATTTGCTGGACTATCGGAAGGGGGAGGGGGCTATGAAGGGTCTGGTGCATCCGACCCCAAGGTTCCTCACCCTTGAATTAGAGGAAAGAATAGCCTGGACCCTTGTAATGTATCTCAGTACCGCCTACAAACAAGAACTAAGTACAGTAAACTTCTGATAATCCGGCACCTTTAGGACCCAGTGGGTGCCGGATTATCAGATTTGCTGGACTATCGGAAGGGGGAGGGGGCTATGAAGGGTCTGGGGTGGGG